CACAAATCTGCAAACACAAAATGTCAGTTATTTCATTTGGTTGCATTGTTTTAGCTTTTCTTCCTATTTAAAGGAGACTTTGTGATTGCGTAAGTGAAGGGCCGAGATCTCAGCCAATGGTGACTTTCAGCATTACTGTCTATGTTTGCAGATTTGTAAGTTGGCATTTCTCATGATTGCTAAGGATTCAGTAAGTTGTGTAATACCTACTTGAGATTTGAGCTGTTGCTTTTGTTTTTAATGGAAGCCCCTTTATCCAAGGACAAGGGGACACTTACTGCAAGCTCCCCTCAGAGCCATGGGAGAGAGAGCCCTGTAGACACCAGGCCAGACCAATAATGTTTCCAAACCCTGGGGTGCAGGGAGAAAAGAAAAGTGTGTGTGGAAGGGGGCTGCAGACAGAACCTGCACTCTATTCACCACGTTCAGTGCTGCTCCCTCTCCGTAAACATCTTAAAGTGCCACTTTTGCTGGACACGTCTCTCTTACCGGACGCCACATGCAGTCTACTGTTTAAGTCAGAACACAAAACAATACAGGCTACCAAGAGTAGCATTTCTGTTCCATGGACCCCAAAATGTTATCTACCTCCCGTTTACTCTGGCAGTCCTACAGCCATAAAAATGACCAGATTCTATTAAATCTTGTTTTCTTCTTTCTAAGCTTGAACAAAATGCAGTGAAAAGGAATGTGTGGATTTTCACTGTGTTCAATCACATCTGTTGGGAGACGAGAAAGCAGGAGTTCCGGTTCTAAAGATTAGGCTCTAGGAAGCCACTCAGAGGCCAGACCCTGAAGCAGGTATAGAGTGGGGTTCCCCACGAAAGACAGGGGTGTCAGGCTGAACAGTTTACACACTATCACCTAAGAGCAACTGTGCATAGAGAAATCTTGCTAAAGAAAGAATTCAGAGAAACAAAGATATGGCAATTTAGAGAAGAGCTGGTCACTCTCTCCACTGGTTTTATGCTTGGCTTTTGCTGTGACCTTTTTTCTTCCAATGCCTCATATTTTTATACTTCTAGAATTTTGTCACAATGGATATTGGTTGAGAGAAATAATAGAGAAACCAATTCAGTGCTGACTACTTTTCACTCCCGGAAGGAGATTCTAAACCAGCAGGGCAAAGCCAGCGATGCCACACATCACATTGATGCGAGTCGCTGAAATGGTGACTTCCTGAAATTTTGCTCCTGCTTCCTCACAACTTCACCTTGTTCACTTCAGAAGTGAAGTGGTGGACACAGTCTCTGGTGGACCTGGGCAGGCAGGGGGACATTATAGGCCACAAATCAATGCAAGAGCAACTGGAACAGTAACCATATTGAAAATTGTTGTGCACGCTCTCCTTTTCTCTGTGTTCCCAGCACATCACAGATCCTGACCCCTCATCTCCCATCTCTGGACTGCAATCTCTCCCTCCATCAGACTGCAAGGTCTCATCCTTGCCCCTCAGCTGACCACAGACATGGGACAAGCAATAATGCCATACAACCAATGAAGCATTTTGAGCATCTTGGAGAAAGACCCTAAGCAAATACCAAACAATATTATTCTTTTTCTCCCAGGCCCTCCCAGCTTTATGCAAGAATATAAGGAAATATTAACTTTACTTCCCTAGTGAGGGAGAGATGTAATTAGAGCCATGAGAAGTTTTCCCCACAAGGCATCCGTGGGTAAATTTGCCAGCACTTGGATGAGATAAAACACAGAACTTTCTATTCTGTACCAATTCCTCCTTTCTCTGGAACACAAAGTCATTTTTATGAATGAAACTAGAAAGAAAGAAAGAGAGAAACGCAACAAAAACAAAGGGAGATAAGGTCACCCTCCATATTCTCTTGGTGAACACGGTGGTCTCCAGCAGACCCCTTCCCCTGCTTCAAAGCACAGCTGCACCTGACAGAGAAAAAGAAGTGAGTCCACACAAAGACCATAAAAGTTGAGTGTCAAGAAAAATCTCAACAATCCTTAAAACTTTTATTAATAAGCCTGGATAAACTAGATGACAAAGGAAATTTTATTCAAATCCTATTTCAATAAATCTCATCACAACAAATTCTCCACCTCAAGGTTGTTCAAACTTCCCTAATGACATAGCAATCGATTTATGAGAATTTCTTGATCACTTTCTATGTGCCAGTCCATGCATTGGGCCCTGCATTGGTCCACTGCAGACAATAGCCAGTTTCAAATCTCATTTCAAGACAACCAAACTTTTGGATGGTGGCTAGTGGTAAAGGTGGTTTTTCCACCTCTTGGACTTCTCTAAAACCCATTCCAGATGCATCCTACTCAACCTTTAAGGTCCATCTAAGTTACCAACTCATCCATAGGGCTTTGATCCTTCACCCACCTCAACATCTAGCAGAAGTAATTTCTCCCCTTTTTGGAATGTCCTTTGTCTACATTTTAAGGGGCATGTTATGTATAACTTTATTGTCATTATTGCTATCTCCCCTGCTGAACCATAAGTTCCCTGAGATGAAAATCTTGAGGACAGCACTCAGTGTGTCTTAAAATGGCATTGTTTACTTCCTTGCATCTCATCACCACTCAAAGTGTATTCCTCAGGACAGCAGCGTGAGCATAATTTAGGATGTTATCAGAAAAGAAGAGTCTCCAGCCCCACCCCACGGCTACTTAATCAGAATGTGCATTTAATACACTACCCAGGTGACTCAGCTATGCATTAGTTTGAGAAGCACTGTTATACACAATGGACGCTCAATAGTATTTTTTACATAATAAGCCAACTTCTACACAGAAATTTTCCCCCTCACTCACCCCATGCTGTAGACTGCAGATGAGCTGAGGAGCAACCCCATCATGAGGTGGCAAGAGGGATTTCTCCTTGCTTTCACTCTAGCTTACCATTCATGGCCCCTATGCATTCAGGCAGCAAGTCCTTTATTCATTCACTCATGAAACATTGATTGAGTTCTTACCCACCATGTGCCATGCACCTTGCACATTTCATAAGAACACTTACCTCTCAACACGCTGAACCAGGTTTGCAGGTTTGATGAGTTTAAATAGAATGACAGTGGTATGTGACTCTGTGTTAAGTGGCTACCAGGGTATTTGTCCACTCCACAAACTCCTAGTGGATCAGGAGGGACATGGCCCAGTCAATCACCCTCACCTCCAGGACTCAGCTCGCTGCTGCATCATGGTCTGGTTCTCCATGGAGGAAAGTCCTGCACCAGTGTTTTCTCAAACATCATCACACATCCCAATCACCTAGAAGGCTTGTGAAAACATGGAATGCTGGGCCTACCCCCAAACTTCTGATTTGCTAGACAGTGACAGGCAAACAAGATAAAAAACAGAAACACTAAATAGAGGTGCCTTCATTCTTTTAGCTTCCCTGATGAGGTGTATCCTATCCAACCTCATTCCCTTAGGTGTTTCAGAGATATTTGGAGAAAAGACTAAAGAAGTGAAGCCTTCATTTAATGAAGTCCATTGAGAGAACCAAGTCCAGAAAGTTCCCCAGTTCTTTATCAGAAAAAGAGCCTGGTTTCCACTTGTGTCATAAGCTTTGTGTGTTACAGCAGAGCTGTGTTGTTCAAGGTAAAAGGACCAAGACTCAGCCCATGGTAGAGAAAATAAATCTGTGCCATAGTGGGGTGCTTCAAACTAGATTTAACTGTCTTTTACAGACAGAAGTCAGTGGGCGCAGCCTGGTCCAGGAATAGCTCATTTGCTCTCTGTCTACAGCTGTACCGAGGACTAAGGAGAGTACCTTCCATTGCCTTAGACTTGCCTCCTCTCTCACACACCTCATCCTCCACCCAGCATCATTCTGAAATCAAGACATCCTGTAGAAAGAGGAGTGGGAGAGTCCAGAGAGTTCCACCTCCATTCCCAAGTTCTCATCTTCCTCCCACTCCCCTGTCACTTTGTAAAGCCAATCTCAATGGTATCTGTAATGAGAACACCAGATAGCGTCAATCCTGGGTATTTCCTAGAACAGGATTTGCAATGCACTTTTGGAAATCACTCACCCCATTCCTGTAGTGCCCCAGTTCCAATGGTCCATGACGTACTCATTGGAAATACCAGAATATGAGTCACTAAGCTTGAAGACCCAAGCCCCAACACTAACCAGCTTCCAGAAAAATCCTTAAATCTACATTCTATTTCCAGAACAGTTCTGGGTGTGCTAAACTTGGCTATCACCAGGAGTATCTATCAAGTTCATAAGTGTCTAGGGGAACCTAGAAACCCTTTGTCTTCCCCACATCCAGCAGAAATGGGTGTGAAATCTTGTGATCAGCATCCAAAGTCCTTAAGATTCTCCACAGGCCAACCACACCAGAAAGCCTGCCTTTGGCGCAGTCTAGCCTGTGTCTAGTCAGCCGCCATCCAGCCCTCATCTGCTTCTGCTCCAACTCTGTTTTAGTGCCTCATCTGAATTGTTTGGTTTCTGACCAACTCCTCTATCTTCTGGTCTTGTGTGGTTACTTCTTTCTAGCTTGGATATTTGTGTCCACTTTCATGGGAATTTGATACATTTGACCCCTTTGGCACAGCCTGGCGTCTCTCGGACTCATCCCATTTCCCATCTCTGGTCCCGGAGAGAATGAGGTCAAAAATCTCTCCCTGAGAGCTTATAGTTACAGGTATCACAAAGCCAGATACTACATCTACCTTACTTTCCCATTCCTGCCACCTGCCTGGCACATAATAGGTGTTCAACAAAAATTTTCTGATGGATGAATAAATTATATCACACCTGCAAGTACTCCAAGGGTTGCTGGACGATCAATAAAGTTATACTTACAACCCAAAGGATTAATACTCCTAAAGCGCTTTGAAAACCACAAAATAACAGTGCTGTAAAATAGTCAACTGTTACTGAGTGGAGATGATCAGAGGAGCAGATTGCACAACTCATTTCAGATGTAGAAGACAGATTTGAGAAAGGAGGGAAAGAGAAATGGGACGTTGTGGGGGAAAAAGAAGAAATAATCAGTAAACAAATTAAAACTCACCTTTATCAAAATCATCATCCTCAACTGCTTTTTCTTGAAGTTTCTGAAGCTTTAATCTTAAGGATTTTACCTATGTTGGTTTGAAGGGGAGAAAATGAAAACCAAATTACCATAGCAGTCAAGCAAACAATTTTGTTAAAGCTAAGAACATTTAGAAACTATTTCAAAACTGAACTTCTTTATCTTCCTCTTAAAAAAGAACCACAAATGTACATTTTTCCAATGCCAGACACATTAGTTTCTCAAAAAAAAGTTTTACGAAGAAAAAGTGTAATTTGAGCATAAAAATCCACAGTTAGAATGTTATTTTAAACAAAAACATCACACTGTAACCTTTGTGCCCTTATCTATGTGAAAAATGCATAATAAAAAGTAGTACAAATTTCTTGACCTGACCAGATGGTCTCTATTCTAAAAATCACATTAAAATTATGAAGCTAAACACACCAAAACTGGAAGAGAAACCAAAAGAAGAAGAGCATGAACTTAAACTCAGTAGGCTGTCCCAAAGGCTGGTGAGAATGACAAGAAGGAATTCATAAAACCCTTGTTAGAAGTCCTCAGGTTCATATATTTGCCATTATAGAAAAGGGCATTGTCTTGTTTAACCTGCATACAGACTCAATGATCCCATCATTTGTTTGAGAATTATCAGTGTGTTCATTTGTAATTATAGTCATGCACCACATAATGATGCTTTGGTCAACAATGGACCACATATATGAGGGCGGTCCCATGAGAGTAGTAGCATACAGCCTAGGTGTGTAGCAGGCTCTACCATCTAGGTCTGTGTAAACACACTCTATGATGTTAGCACAATGACGGATGCATCTAACAATGCATTTCTCAGAAAATGTCCTCCTTGTTAAGTGACACATGACTGTATTTTTCTTCTCAACAGGAGGCCCAGAGATTTTCTGAAGATGGATTCTTAGACTATGAATGAATAGATCTGGGCTTGCTCCCTGAAAAACACCTTCCTCCCATCCTTTGCCTGGCTAACACCTATATTTCCTTCATCACCTAACTCAGGTGTCACCTCCTCCAGTCTGTTAAATGTCCTTTCTCTATACTACCATTGTGACCTGTTCTTGCTTCTATTCATACTATCCATTTAACAAATATTTATCGAATGCCTCTTAGGTCTTTGGAGCCCCCAAATCCCTCTGTGGAACTTGAAGCATAAGCCAGAAACATAAATTTTGTTATGTTAAGACTCTGATATTGTGTGTGTGTTACTAAGCTATTTTAACTAATATAATCTAACTAATAAAATCTCCAAAGCCAGACACAGGGTGTTGTACTATTAGTAGTCAGTAAACACAGTCTGAATGAATGAAAGAATGAATGAATGATCACATTAACCCCTTTATCCTCGAGTTGCTCCACATATCACATACAAATTTTACCAGTAACTTAGTCTTACATAGTAGAGATAGAAGAAAGGCTGTATGGTGGTGCAATTGCCATATAAAGCAAGAGCATTACCATCACCACACCCAAAGGATGGTATTATTAAATTAAAAAAAAAAAGCAGGAGCAGAAGAACTATAGAAAAGAAGGTCAAAGAGGGGGCCGGCCCAGTGGCGCAGTGGTTAGGTTCACACGTTCCACTTTGGCAGTCTGGAGTTCGCCAGTTTGGACCCCAGGTACGGACATGGCACCATTTGGCACGCCATGCTGTGGTAGGCATCCCACACAGAAAGTTGAGGAAGATGGGCACGGATGTTAGCTCAGGGCCAGTCTTCCTCAGCAAGAAGAGGAGGATTGGCGGCAGATGTTAGCTCAGGGCTAATCTTCCTCAAAAAAAAAAAAAAAGAAGGTCAAAGGATACATTTATAGCCAATGCCCACCTCACCTTACCCCTCTCGTCAATTATCCCTGTAAGACCCTGACTTGATGCCCTGGGATATGTTTGAACGTCCATCTTCCCTGGAAGCACAACCACTGATGGGCACGTCTTACCCCGTGACCCAGCCCACGTTAGGCAGGCAATTAGTTTGTTTTCCACAAGCTGAGGTGGGGCCTGACTTGCAGGGTTCTGCCCACTTCCCCCCTCTGCCCACCCAGTTAGCATTTCCTTTTATCGCATTTCTCTCAGCCCCACTCAACCTCTGGCAATAGTCCTTGGGTGGCTATTTCGAAATAGCAAAAAATACGCATATAGTCAATTCTCATTCATGGTAGTTATGTTCCATAAAGTAGCTGGGAACATCAATTAACAAATACTCAACCCTGGCTTCTGGGGGAAACACAGGGTTAAGTTCATGAGAGCCTCCGGTCACAACATTTTTGTCAACTGGTCAATATATAACCTTGTTTATGTCTGTTCCAGTTTAAAGACACCTTATTAAATCTGCACTGCTGATTCATTAACACCAAACTCATGGCCAACAGCACTCCAGCTCATGCGGGAAAGAAGCTCACCTAATACATGTGTTTTCTCCGTAAGGCACATCACAGCCTTCTTGCACTTGCGAACACTAGACAGCACTCAGCATTATGCTTGGGGACCATTTTAAAAAACAAAATCATCAACAAAAATGCAGAAAGATGTGGCGTTAAATAGACCACGAAAAGGACACTTGTCGACAGTACAAGAGCTGAAACAAGAAGGCAGAGCGTCACCCTGTTCACCCTCAGCCTGGAAAGTGCACATCAGGTAACTCAAATTTTCAGCCACTCTGGGCATGTCCACAACTGACCAGGAAAGCACTGTGAGCATTGACTTTGGAGTTATTGATAAATTTTAGCAAGTAGGCGAATTTGTAAATATAGAATCTGTGAATACTGAAGATCAACTGCATTTTAAAAGGAGCGAAAACTCAAGTTCCTGAGATTTGTGTTTTGCTTAAGGAGAAGGGAGAGGGATCAAGGAATTAGACCATAATCTCTAAAAGGCCCCACAACACTGGAATCCCAACCCTTCAAAGAATCTTTTTGAAGATCCTTAGCCCAACCTCCTCCTCAATCCTGAAGGCCTGCCCAGGAGCCTGAATGAGCAATGTGGGGCCTCTGCACAAACACAGTGGAAAAAGCTGGGCTCCCCAGCAGCCCCCCTCATAGTGGAGGACTCTGGGTGTCAGGAGCTTCTTCTTCCTTTCTTTTTTTGAGGAAGATTAGCCCTGAGCTAACATCTACTGCCAATCCTCCTCTTTTTGCTGAGGAAGACTGGCCCTGAGCTAACATCCTTGCCCATCTTCCTCTCCTTTATACGTGGGATGCCTACCACAGCATGGCTTGCCAAGCAGTGCCATGTCCGCACCCGGGATCCAAAATGGCGAACCCCAGGCTGCCAAAGCAGAATGTGCAAACTTAACCGCTGCGCCACTGGGCCAGCCCCTCTTCCTCCTTTTGAAACAAAACCTGCCTTCCTCTCAGTCCTATGCCCTGGAAAGAGTTCTTTTCCATCACTCCCACCACACAGAATAAAGTTGACCCTTCTTCCACACAACAGACATTCAACCACCTGAAAATGGCAGCACGCTTTCCCCTGTCCAGGTGTTAGATCACCACAAACAAAGACACTTAAACTACAGTTAAGTGGTCTCCAGATCCTATTGTTTGAGACAAGACATGAGTTTAAATTGAACTGTGGGGAGAAGGGTGAATTTATTCTTCTTTGACTCAAATTCTCTCAATCTGAGCTGTTTCTCTAGTGATATTGATGGGCAATATCCTGGGTACTTGCTCGGTGCCAGACTCATCTGGAGCACTTTGCATGTAGGAGCACATTTAACCCTCACGACAGGCTAATGAGGTAGGTGCTGTGGTTCTCTCTCCTTCTACAAGAGCATCTTGAGGCACAAGACAAGTAAGCCAATTACCTAAAGACACACAGCGAGGAACAGAAAGAACGAGGCTACCACCCAGGCCGTCCCACTAACTTGCCACGCTGCAGCGCTCCGTGGGTAACACCCACAGGCCCCAGCAGGCACCACAGGCAGTAGGGCTCACCCCCTCCAGAAGCCCAGTAGTGTGGGAAGCGTGCGCCGGGCACTGTGGCCGTGTGCAGGTGCCATGGGTGAACCAGCAGCAACCACGCCCTTCTTCCCCACAGAATAACTCTCTAGTAGATTATGACCAATTATTTCTTTTAAAAGCTGCATTTGGCTGGTAAAGGAGAAAGGAAGAAATGTAGCTAGCATTGATTTTATTTCTTTTTAAAACTAAAAATTATGAAATCCAAAAGGTGAGTCACGGTGGCTTTCTGTAGCCACAGCCCCTGGAATTTCAGCTCACGGTCCTCCAATGTCTCGGTGGCTCAGAGAGCCAGCATGGTGAGCCCGTGCACAACTGGGTCCCCAGAGAGCCACATTCGCTCATGGTTCACAGACTCCAGTTTACCAAAAACTCCAGGTTCTCAAGAGGAAGTGATCAATCTCCAGGTAGGAGGAGCTAAAAGGAAGAAAAAAACTATTGGGGCTACCAAAACCCAGCGGGCCGAATCCTGTGGACTGCCATGGGATCCTCACTAAGGCAAGTTTCTGATTGCATGGTTACTGGGCGCAAGGGAAGCTGGTCATTACAACAGCATTCTACTTTGGCTTCACTTGAGTCAAAATCTGGATTTCTGAGATGGAGAAATGCAGATATATTGCCCAGATTTTTTTAAAAGTTCTCAGAAATGCAGTGTTGAAAACTGGCATCTAAAGTCAGAAAAGTATGATGATGCCAACCTCTACTTGGTGCCTTCGTCCTGTGTGCATCTGCCTCTCAGATTCTCTTCTTATGCCTTAGACAGCTGAGCCAAGAAATCCATCAATTAGATATCTGTGGCCCATCTTAACAAGATTGAGTTCACTAAAAATAAAAATTAGTCGAGCTCCTGCTGAGGGCCAGGAAATAGGCGAGGCATTTGGCATCCCAAAACGTCTAGCAGAAGCGATCTGTGGTTATGGGGCTCGTAGTCAAGTGAGGAACTTGAACCCACAAACAAATTTTTATTACCTGTGGTGAGTGCTATTATGGAGCATGTCCAGAGTGCTATGGGGACAAATGGAAGATGGGATTCATCTGGTCTAGAGGGGGCAGGAAATGGCTCACAAGGAAGTGGCTTTGGAGTCACGACTAAAGGGATAAGTAGGAGCTTGGCAGGCGGGAGAGTGCAGGAAGGTCAGACCAGGCAGAGAGAAAAGTAAGCAAAGGCCTGAAGCACAGCTTTCTGTGGTGTCTTCAGGAACAGGAAGCAGCCCCAGATGGCCGAGCCGGCAGGAGTAAGGCACTGGGGCAGGCTGCAGCAGGTTGGGAAAAGTCTCGATGATCAGGATAAGGAGCTTGGATATTGTCCAGAGAGGAGCAATGAGCCACAAATGGTTTAAGCCAAGGAATAACACTATCCCGTCAGTGTTTCGAAAGATAACTGTGCTGGCCACACAGAAGATAAATTGGAGAAGAGAGACACTCGAGGAGGGTAAATGTGTCAAGAATCTCTTGCAAAACCCCGGTGAAAGATAACAAGGATTCGAACCAGGGCAGTGACGGTGGCTTGAGACGAGGTTAGCTGTAGGACTGAGAGGGTTTGGAGGCTGAGCAGATGTGGGGAGGGATGGAGAGGGAGGTATTAAAGATGACTGCAGTTTCTCTAAGGAAGTGAATAGATTCTATTGATTCAAATCGACAAATACATATCAAGAATGAGGCCCTTAGAACAGGTTTGGTGGCGAAGACAATGGCATCAGTTTTGGACACATCTAACTAGAGGGTTTCACACATCACCTGGGAATAGAGACCTGCATGTTTGGCCTGGCTTCGCTATCTTCCTGGGTTGTAAATCAGATGGCTGGGCTGAGGTCCCTATAGGCCAGAACAAAGGAGCTAAACATCACGGAAAGTCGATGAGATGCGACTGCTGAGAACGAACGTGAACTTCACATTTTCAGGTACTTCTACCAAATGCCTGATGAGGAGTGCTCCACTTCCCTGCTTACATGTATGTGTGCACACACGTACACATATGCACATGTGCACACATACTCGTGTGCACACATACACAAACACACACCCCAGAAGGAAAACGCAGTCTTTCAAGAGGATGAGGCACACAGCCCAATGGGCCAGCCACGAAGCATCTCTCCCTTGGTCTCTCTAGGAACTTTCTGGGGTGGAACAATCCTGCCTACTCCTGGCTGTACCCAGCCCTCAACAACTGGGTGGACAGCGCTGTCATAATGTAAAGACTTACACTGACACTGTCTGTCCCAATTTCCAAAGCACTTACATATTCATTTGAGCTGCAGAGAATCCTGTGCAGTGTTGATACCTCTAAATAAGGAAAGTGAGGGCCTGAGAGGTTTAGTACCAGAAACAGTCTCCTGAGTCTATGTTAGGCAGTTCCCGCTGCAGCAGGATGAAATGAGATGAGGGCAGTAATGCAAATGAGCTCAGGACCACCCTCAATGCAGGGCATCACCGTCTTCATATCCCTCAACCCCTTCCACACACCAGCCAGCTGCGTCTCCCTGCTCCCTGGCCCGGATTTCCCGTTTCAAAGCAGAGCTAGGCGGAGCTAACCACACACCACCCAGGCCAGGAAGTGCAGAGGAGCTGGGGGCCCACAGAGAGCAAATCAGAGCATCGAAGCAACAGAGAAGACATAAGCGAGAACAGATTTGTGTCCAAACTGAAAGAGAAGACACAGAAGTACAGGAACATCTTCCTGCAGCCGGCCGCAAGAGGAGCTGCTGCGATTTCTAGGGTGGAAGTGCGTCAACCCCAGAACCACTTATTTCCTGCCCTCTGCCCAGAGCTAATCTGAGCTGTGACGCTCGTGGGGCCCCAGAGGCTGGGGAGACACCGACCTCCAGTTGCCTCCGGTCACTCAGCAGGCAGTCCAGCAGCACGGGCTCGCATTTCCCAAGCAGCTCGTCCCAACGGTGAGAGTCCCCCAAGCTGCTGCCTTCAAACCATGAGGAATCTGGGGAGCAGGAGGAGGCAGCGTCCGTGTCCGACAAAGACACCATCTCACACTCCAGCCGGGGGCTGCCCGCTGCAGCCTGGGCAGAGTCTGCTAGGCCCTGAGTAGCCTTGAGGTTGAAGGCGGGAGAGAGAAGTCGAGGGTGTTCGTGGGGGCTGTCCAAGCTGACAGCCTTGGCTTCCAGCTCCTCGGGCCTCTGATGAGGGGCCTCGGCCTCTCTGGATGGTGGGCAGCCTTCCGCTTCTCCACGTTCCCCGGCAGAGCCAAGTGAGAGCTGAATGAAGCTAAAGCTGGAGGTGAAGGCATCCTGAGAGCCGGCGGGGGCTGAGGGAAACTTCAGGCCACTTTGGAGGCTGCAGCTGTTACTACTCATCTCCTTTGGGGCAAGACAGCCTTTGGTCCAGGTGCCCCTTCCTCCTTCAGTGCAGGCTGCATCCCAACCAGGGCCTGGGGCCTCAGAGCTGTCCATGGATGGAAGCTCCTCCTGACACCCAGTGTCCCCAGGGCCACAAGACCTGGTTAGCCTGTCGGGCAGCTTGGTGCCAGCTCTGAGCTGAATCCCAAAGAGCCCTGAGGTTCCTCTCACAGGGGTCAGAGCCAGGCCTAGGTGGTCCACAGATGTCACAGCTGTGATGCCCTTGGAAACAGGATTCCCAACGGAGGGGCCTTGCCCCTGGCCTCCAGGGTCAAGGCCACATGGGTTGGCCCTGGACTCAGAGTGGTGGGACTCCTCACTGCACATCCCTCCCTGGGCCCAGAAAGGAGTGCCCACTGCTGGGGAGAGGAACCCGATCCGGGGCCCAGCTGTGCTTCTCATGTAGCCTGGCCTCCGTGCCAACCGCTTCTTCCGGAAAGAGGCTGCAGGTGGTAAGCAATCCTGGCTGCCTGGAAAGAAGAGAGAAAACAGCACCGTAAACACACAGATCTCACTGGCCTAGCTGGAAGTGCATTTGGAGAACATCATAGGCTTCGAGGTCATCTTTCGGTGCCTCTGCCAAAGAGAGATGCTGGCTCAGTGGTCACGGGGCCAACCGGTACGAAAATTCTGATGACCCCTGGGAAGTGTTTGCCTTGAACGTGTAGAAACAACACAGCAGCCCAGCTCTTCTGTTGAGCAGAGCAGCTGGCGTTGCTGTGTGTTGTGCCAACACGTCAGCATGCACAACGGAGACACCACCTCAGCAGCTCCTTCTGAAGCCCCAGCCTCTCGCCTCTTAGTCTTTCAGGCACATCAGCACTTTCATCCTGGCGTGGGCCTGGAAAGCAAATGATTTGAAACTGAATGCCAGCGCACTCCTCAAAATGCGATCCAATCGCTTACTCTAGGTACTCATCGAACAATACACGAGTTTCCATTATCTGAACTATCAGTGTCCTTGCATGCCTGTGGACCACGGAGAGCCAGCTGTAACACAATTTATGCCCATCAGTTCATCTCACATGGTGGATTACAGGGGGCCCTGCTTGACGTGTTCTCAAAATCAGGGCCTGTCCTCCTCCCGGCTATGTGAGAGGAACAGAAACAATAAACAATATTGATGCCTCACAGAGGCAGGATAGGACAGCAGTTGAGAGCATAGACCCTGGCACCTCCTTACCTGGTGCAAACCCTGACTGTGCCATTGCTGGCTGTGTGACCATCCGCAAGTTACTTAACCTCTCTATGCCTGAGTTTGCTTCTCAGTAAAATGGAGATATTAACAGTGCCTCTCTCATAGGGTGGCTGTGAGCATTCAACCACATGAGTTTCTAGATATAGACGGCTTAGAACAGTGCCTGGCACATGTAATAAATGTGATCAAAGCATTAGTTATTATTTTTACATTGCATAACACATTATTCATAATGTGTTTTTATCTACATTAATTTCACTTGCTCCCTACCAAAATCATGTGAATCAATCAGACCAGGAATCATAACTTTCCTTTTATAATTAAGGAAACTGAGGCTCAGAGATTCGACATTCTGGAAACAGCTGCAAGTGGCCGAGAGACCAGTGCGGAAGTCTCCTGACTTTACTGGCTCACACGATGCCCCCACCTCGCAGCCCTGCCGCAGCGAGAATCAGATGAGATGGAGGCATACAAGGAAGAACATGCAGCACTAAACACAGTTGTAGGTATACTACAGCCTGTGGCAACAGTGGAACAAAGCTTCTCTCCAGGCCCGCACAGCTTGCTCTGCCTCCCAGAACAGAGACGGTCACGGTAAACAGAAGGTGCTAGGCATTTAGGATCCCACAGTGTTAAGATCATGGCACACACCAGTCTCTGGAATGGGTGTCATTGACAATCCCTGGGGAAGTGAGCACAATGACCCATGGGCCACCTGTTCCCTGAATTTGAGCATCTGAGGACAAGAGAGTACAAGATGTGTCCACCCGGTGGCCTGCTCTTGCCAACCGGGTATGCCAACTGCTGAGACCCCAGGAAGGGTTAATACCACCCTGAATACACAGAATTCTGGAAGCCTACAGGGAAGGAAGGAATGGAAGCAAGGGCTATAAGCAAAGGAGTGGGAGTGGAAGTCAGGATAAAGGAAGGGAGGGAGGCATGTAACACTACAACCCTAGGAGCTTGGTACCATTTCATTTTATAAATAATAAAATTAAAACTCAGAAGGTCTTAATTTGCCCCAGAAGTCCCTAATCATAATTTACCAAAGCCTGTTTTGCTCACTACTTAACAATCAACCAGCACAATGCCCTACATTTAAGTTGCTTCATAAATCGTGAATGAATGAATGGATGTGTGGATGGATGGAGGGAAGGAAGGATGGATGGTGGGATAGATGGATGGATGGATGGATGGGTGGGTGAACTGAGGCCTATCTGATTCCAAAACACATGCTCTTTCTATATCCTTTGCCCCCAAGTAGATCACTTAGGAGAACTTGAAATGACAAGAAATCAGAAGAAAAATTTATTTTTCTTTGCTTCACAACAGAGGCCATGCAAAGTTGGAATCAGCAGAAAAGGACATGACGAAAATGTATGGAAGGAAACATTAATATCATTAGTAGCCAAATTGGACTACCCATTAGGATGGCTACCATAAAAAAAATAAGATTTGATGAAAATACGGAAAAATTGGAATCACTGTGTACTGTAGATGGGAATGTAAAATGGTACAGCTGAAAACAGTATAGTAGTTCCTCAAAAAATTAAAAATATAATTACTACAGGGTCTAGCAATTCCACTTCTCGGTATATACCCAAAAGAATTGAAAGCAGGACTTCAAAGGGATATTTGCCCACCCTTGTTCATTGCAGCATTATTCACAATAGCCAAAGGTGGAAGCAACTCAAGCATCCATCAATGGATGGATGGATAAACAAAACACGGTGTGTACATACAACGGAAAATTATTCAGCCTTATAAAGGAAGGAAATGCTGACACATGCACAACACAGATGAACCTTGAGGACATTATGCTAAGTGAAATAAGCCAGTCACAAAAGGACAAATATTGTTTGAATCCATTCATATGAGGTACCTAGGGGAGTCAAATTAATAGAGCCAGAAAGTAGAAGTGTGGTTGCCAGGGGCTGGAGGCCAGCAGGGAGAAATTATGGGGACTTAGTGTTGAACGGGGACAGAGCTTCAGTTTGGGAAGATGAAAAAGTTCTGGAGATGGGTGGTTGTGATGGGTGAACAACAATGTGAATGTTCTTCATGTCACTGAACTGTACACTTACAAGCAGTTAAGAGGGTAAATTCTATGTTATACATATTTTACCACAGTTAAAAATTTTAAAAAAAGATTTTAATAGACCAAATTGGGTCACCACGCTCTCTGGTCCGGTACCTTCCCTCAGGGATTTCATCATCTGAGGATGTCCCCTGCACGTTGTGGTCCTGACTACAAGGAGAGCAGTCTGCAGAGGTCTGCGGGAGCTCAGGTGTGAGCAGAAGGAGGCCAAGGAGAAGAAAGACTAACTCTCATGTGCCCTGTAAAACTGGCAAAATAGTTTTTAAAGAACAGTGACTCCAAAAGGAAGTACAGAGAACACTGAATTCTGGCTTCAATTACCAAAGGAAAACAATTCAGCAATATCATATCTCAAGAAAGGGGTCCTGTGAAATCTATATTGCCTTTTGGCTTCAAAAGTCTGAACTATTTTTTTTATGCAAGTACCAGTGACCCAAATAACGCTTCTACAATTAAAAGATCAATGTTAAGTGGAAAATATTTGTTTGAAATTTCATTTCTTTTCAAATGCCTGAGGGCACTTCAGCCTGAGCAGCATTTTCTCAAGCCATTTAACCAAGGGCCCAGCTCCAGCATCCACCTGAGCACTCATACAGCCTGCCCCCTGGCTTGGGCCTTCCCAGAGGGTGGCCCAAGAAGCAGAGACTGTCACACACTATTAATCCTAACCCTCAAGAGAGGGCAGAGGAGCTGACAGAGCCAGATCTGGAGGGCACTTCTGGAATGAGCTAGAAGGATTGGAAGAAATTCATACTGGGCTGACAGCTGCTCTGAAACCTCTAGGAAGACCCCCAGTTCCCCATAACCAAAGTCCCCTATTTACACTTTTTTTTAATTTTTATTTTTTGAGGAAGCTTATGATGTCCCCCCTGACCAGAAATCAATTATCACTTATATATCCTGCCTGAAATCCTACCTATTAGATTAGTGTAAAATCCAAGGCCTGCCATCAGGCCCTGAAGTTAAGGAAGGGTAATGATGCACTCAGACCTTAGAGAGAAAGATTCCTTCCTGACATGCTGCAGTCAGCTTGGGGGATGGAGGTTAGAGCAACCAGGAAGTACATCGTGGCACAGCAGAAGGCCCGAAGGGCAGGCAGGCTTGGAGAGCTGGCCCAAGAAACCAGCTGTGCCCTCTGTTCTTTGTAAAACCCAGAGGTGGCTTTGTTCTTCCCATCTGGCCCCAGAAAGGCTGAAATAGAAGAGGAAGCCTCACTCAGCCTCCTCCATCCCTCACAGCCTCCCACTCCATCATAGATTCTAGGGAGGGGAGGAATAGACTCCTCCCCATCATACAGACCTCTGGTCCCTGGTTATATAGGATCCTCATCTCCATCCCCATTCAACCCAATGAGCTCTGAGACCGAAGGGAAGCGAAAGATAGTAGCGTAGATTAGACCCCGATGTCAAAGGACCTCTATATATGGTCCAGACAAGGTGCCCAGAAATATCTGCTCACCTAACTTATTGGGACAATTAGGGGAAGCCAATGTTAACCAGCCACATCAGTGAGAATTCTGCCCAGCTTGCCTCTGATGCTCTCCCTTCCTCCATCCAAATCCTTCCAATTCTTTAGCTTCCAACTCCCTTCCCCATCAACTACCCTGTCCTGATCACCCAGTTCACAGGGCTTCACCAATTGTCCACATCACTCCTTTCCCTCTATTTATTAACAGCCAGCACTGCTGGTTATTTTCCTTGGTGTATATAAATTGTTCCCAACTTACACTATATATAAGCTTCCTGAGGTCCTTATAATTCCCCCAAAAAATCCTAGTATACACATTGGCCAGATAATACTCATTTTTAAATAGGAAATCTAAAATATGCAATTTAAGAAAACACGATACTCATGAATTTACTTGAAAGATCTAAATATCAAGACTCAAAGCTAAAATCTACACAAAATGCTCACTTGGGTTTGGGCAAGTCCTTGGCTGCCCTATACCACAATGATTCTCATGTCTTGTGGGGAAAGCCTGTCTGCCTTCTGAAGGGGAGATACAGAGGCCACGGCTGAGAACCCATAAATAGAGAAGAACAGGCACATAAAGGCTTTACAGAACCAGACTTGGGTACAAACGTAGAGTGGAAGCATAAATGAATACATTCTTTGCATGGAAGGAATTTTAATTCTGTTTGTCATGGTTGGGGCTAAGACTTGTATGTGTGTGT